CCCGATCCTTTCCCCCTCTCCCCACCGTGCGAACCTTCTTCCCCCGCTGCGCCCCATTCTCCCCCTCCACCCACTTAGTTTATCATCAGTCAAACATTAGTTAAGTTCTTAATTACTTTAATCCCTAAAATCTTTTTCAAAATACCTATGTATCAATCTACCTTTAAAAACGAATAGTCCCTTTTCGATCTTTCTTTTTGAAATACGTTGAAAATAAGTAGTTAATTTTTCAAATTTCTCAAAATACGTCCCAATTAATTCGATAGTTCCACAAAATCTTTTTGAAATACTTTAGAATTAAATCACCCCTTTTCACAAATTTCTTTGAAAATATTTTCCGTTTGAAATTTTCCTTCTTAACTTCTCTTTTGCATTAATTACTTAGTTTGTTCTCGAAATTTTGAATTAAAAGGAAAAAAAAAAAAAACTCTTGAACTCGTTGCTTCTTTCGAAATTTCTTTAAAATATTTTGAAATTACTTAAATTCTATTTCTTTAAAATTTCTTTTTCGTTTTTGAAATTTCTTGAATACTTTAGAATTAATTCATGTCTTCTTGGAATACCCTTAATTTCTTTCCAAATTCCTTGGAATCCTTTTGCAACTCGTAAGTAGCCCTTTTCCGAAATTTTGAATTCACATTTTGAACTTTGAAATTAATTACTTATTTTTACGAAATTATGCCGAATTTCTTTTCTTTGCCGACATTTCTTTAAATTCACGTTCGGAATTAATCCCTTCCTTCGGAATTAATTATTATTTTTCCACATTTTCAACGAAAAATTTTAAAATTCCCCCTTCTAATTATTTTTCTATAATTTGAAGATATTCCAAAATTTCATGTAAATAAATATAAAAATAAATTCAAATTTATTTTCTTCCAATATTTTGAACAACGAATTTTGTAAATCTCTCCTTCGGATCCTTCAAAGTTTTGTTCTACCCAAATTAATTTCGAATAAATAAAACTCCAATTGGAATAAATTTATTTATTTAATATTAATTCCCTACGTTCCAAAAAAAAAAAATAAAAAAAATCTTGGCAATTATCTTTATTTTTGAATTTATTGATAAAGAAGTAAGGGATTGCCCCCCCCACCTCCACATGCCACCACGCCAAACCAAGAACTCCCAACGTGTCGTCGCCGCAGCCGCTGTTGTTGCCGCCACCACTGCTGATGCATCCTCCACACCCGTTCAGGCCACGTCCTCCACCCCCTCTTCCCTCGACATGGCCGCATCCTCCATCAACATGTCTGATATCCGCACCAACTCAGTCGACAGCATTGCCCGCAACCTTGCAGGCGAACAACCACCAGCAAACACCGCCACCCTCGACCTCTCCGCCATCCTCCACGCACTCAACACCCTTCGAACCTCCGTCACCGCCTCTCTCGACGACATAAAGGCCAACATGTCGTCCATATGCGACCGCGTCACCACGATCGAAGGGACCATCCCCTCCATCACAGTCGTCACCACCGCACGAACCACTCCCTCCACAGCGCAAACCACTTAATCCTCCACAACGCAAACCACTCTCTCCTCCACAGCCGCCTCCAACAACACCCCCCCGCCGACCTCCTCCACTCCTACCACCTCTACCACCACATCCACCAACCCTTCAACCTCCACCACCGTTCCGTTCCCTCCACCTCCTCCCTCATCCGGTGCATCCAGCACACCGCCTCATTCCTCGCCCATCCAAGTCACCCCTCTTACCCCCCCACACTCCCAAACCCTCTCCCAACCCATCATGACCACCTCCACCACCCCCACCATCCGTCCCACCTATTCCCAAGTCACCTCCGGGGTTTACCTTGAATGCCACAACTCCCCCCCAACTACCTCCTTGAGGACAACAACCAAATCGACCACACCTGCTACGACACCACCCCGGATAACCTCAGCTTCAACACCCTCGCACAGATCGTTCACCGCGACAGGGAAATCCCCCGTTCCTTCCGATTTGGTGAAATCATGTCCTTCTCCGGCCTCCCCCACGAGGACGTTTTCCTCTTCCTAACCCAGCTGCAGAACTCTGTTCACCTCCACCGGATGCCCCTTGCCCACTGGCTCCCCATTGCCACCTCCCGCCTCTTTGGCAATGCAGCCGAATGGTGGATGGCTGAAGTTAGCAACCGCCGAGCCTCCGGAGGACCACTTCACACCTTCCTCCAATGGGCCAACCTTCTCACTGCCACCTTCCTACCCCAGAAAACTATTGACTACTACCTTGAACAATTATGCCACCTCCGCCAGACCGGTCCCACTGACCGCTTCGTCCAATACGTCCGCTCCCTCCGCCACCACCTCCCCAACACCGTCGTTCCCGACTTTGCGTTCATCTCCCGCATCAAATGAGTATGCCACAAAGACCTTGCAACCGCCCTCGCCCACAAACCCGACATGTCCCTTGCCGACCTCCTCTCTCGCATGCTTCACCACAATCGACTCCTCCACCCCCACCACAAGCCCTCGCCCGACACCTCTCGCACCCGCTTTTTCCACCACATCACCCCCGAAGACACCTCCTCCATCACTTCCTCAGAGGAGTTCACCACACCTGACCCCGATGAATCTTCCGATTCACTCGACTCTTCATCCCTCACTTCCGAGGAACTCGATGTCCTCCAATTCATGAGAATGGAGCACAGAGATCGCAGCTCCCGACCACCCTCATCTACCCCACCCTCTCGCCTCAAGAAACACACCCCCGAGGAGCGCACCTACCTCCAAGCAAAAGGGGGTTGCTTCCGTTGTBGCCAATTGGGGCACCAACAAACCAACTGCCCCAACGCCGCACGAGTCACCCGCCAGTCCGCCTCCACTCGACCCGCAACCTCCGCATCACCGCCCTCGGCAAGCGCAGGCCCCTCCTCATCATGAACACACTCCCCAGGACACTGACCCAGCATCGACATCGCGTGTGTCGGCCCACCCATCGGTGACGTCCTCCGTCCCACCGATGACCCATCTGACATCGACAATTCGTTTGCCTCACCCCTCTCCAGCGACGCCCCCTCCACCGGAGGACTCCCAGGCATCGCAAATGCCTCCCACTGCCTCATGCTCCTCTACCCTTCTTCCAAATCCATCCACTATCACCTTCTCCGATGTTGTTGAGGAACAAGCCCGACACGATCGGCTTATCCGCTTAGGCAACGAACAACGCCGCCTCAACACCATCATCTCCACCGCCAACTCATCTCGTTTCCACCTCAAATTCATCGYTGCCACCCTTGGTGCGTCTACAACTAAGTTTCGGGCCCTCCTCGACATTGGAGCCACCGGTAACTTCATCACCAACACGTGTGTTCGCAAAGCCGGTCTTACCTCTACCGGTTATGACTCCCCGATCACGATTCGCCTAGGGGACAAAGACACCGCCGTCGTAGTAGACCGCACGGTTCCCGAGACCACCATGACCATCGGAACCCTCCGCAGTCAGGTCTCGTTTGATGTCATGCACTTGATGTGCGACATCGTCTTAGGAACCCCGTGGCTGGACCGCTACATGCCATACGCATTCCACCCCAACTTCCTTCGCCTCACAAACCCCCCCGACACAACCATCGACATCCCCTATCGCCCATATCCGACCTCCCAAGGCTCTGTCACCCCGCACCAATTCCTCCACATGGCTCGCCTAAACCCGGACTCCGCCTACTACTGTCTTGTCCTTGATCGAGAAAGTCCCAAGGACTTACTTCCGACGGACAAACCCGGTCAACCCCCCCCCTCCAACCCCGCCATCACCTCAATCCTCGACGAGTTCAGGGACGTTTTTCTCGAGTCCTTACCCGTCGGACTACCTTCGGATCGTGGCGTATGGCATACCACCTCCACCTTGCCGCCCTCCATACCAACTCTCTGTCCCCGAAGCCGAAGAAATGAAGCGGCAACTCGGTGAACTCCTTGAAAAAGGGTTTTTCATCCCCCTTCGGAACCAGCTGCCTTTTCGTCAAGAAAGGTGGAACTTCGGAACTCCACATGTGCACAGACTACCGCGCCTTGAACTGGATCACGATCAAGAACAAGTACCCCCTACCTCGGATTTCCGAGCTCCTTGATCGTCTCCGTGGAGCCAAGTACTTTACCAAGATTGACCTTCGCATTGACTTCCACCAGATCCATATCCGCGAGGAGGACACCCACAAGACCGCTTTCCACTCTCGGTTCGGGCACTTCGAGTTCCTTGTGATGCTATTCGGAGTCACCAATGCCCCCGCTACCTTCCAATCTACCATGAACCACATCTTCCGCAACCTCCTCGAAGTCTGCGTCGTTGTCTACCTTGATGACATCCTTGTCTTCAGCCCCACCTTCGAGTCCCACMTTCAGCACCTCCGCCAAGTCCTCTTGATCCTCCGAGAGCAAAAATTTTACGCCAAGCCCAACAAATGTACGTTTGCCGCTTTATCGCCTTCGCAAGCAAGAAGCTCCTTCTCACGGAGATGAATTACCCCTCCAACGAGAAGGAACTCCTCGTCGTGATTCACACCCTCATAGTCTTGCGCCCGTACCTCGACGGGCAATACTTCACCATCCGCACCGACAACACAATCGTGTCCTCCGTCCTCTCCAAGAAAGATATTACTCCACGCCAAGCCCGCTGGCTAGACTTTCTTGCTCAGTTCACATTCACCATTTGCCATACCCCCGACAAAAGCAACCGCATTGCGGATGCCCTCTCTCAACGACCCGACCACAAGCCCCCAAGAAAGTTTACGCTGCCATGACTCATATTCAACTCCTTCCATCACTTCATCATCAGTACACCCAAGGCTATTTCTCCTGCTCAGACTTCGCCGCCATTTACAACAAGCTCCGCGATCTTGACCTAGTTCCTGACTACTCCCTCCACAACAATCTCCTCTACATCGATACCAAAGGCACTCGCCGACTTTGCATCCCCGACGCACGAGGCCTCCGTACTCAGCTCTTGGCCGAGCACCACGACGCCAAGACCGCAGGACATCGCGGTTTCCAGAAAACCTTCGACACCATCTCCCGCTACTTCTATTGGCCTTCCCTCCTCGCCGACGTCAAAGCATACATTTGCTCGTGCCCCATGTGTCAAGCTGTCAACCCCTCGAACCGGGCCAAACCCGGCAAGCTCCAATCATTGCCCATCCCAACTCACCGGTGGCAGTCCGTCTCCATGGACTTAATGTGCGGCCTCCCCAAAACCGACCGCGGGCATGATTGCATCTACGTCATTGTCTGCCGCTTGACCAAACGTGCCCACTTCGTCCCTTGCACGACCTCGCACAGTGCCAAAGACGTTGCCACACTCTTCTTCGACCATGTTGCTCGCCATCATGGCCTCCCCGAGAACATCATCAGCGACCGTGATCCTCRCTTCCTCTCACAATTCTGGAAACACCTCTTCACGGCCTACGGAACCACGCTCAAGTATAGCACTGCATTCCACCCACAGACCGATGGACAAACAGAGAAGATGAACGATACACTCCAAAGAATCCTGCGGAAGTATTGTCATCCACACCAACACGATTGGGATCAGTTGCTCACAGCTGCCSARATTGCCTACAACAAYGYTGTCTGCCCCTCCACTGGCATGTCCCCTTTCTACCTYGACCTTGGCTACCATCCCCGCTTGCCCTCTGATTTCTTGCTTCCCTCGCAGCTCAGCCCCTCCACCCCTTGCCCCTCTCTCAATGAATGGGTAGCAACAATGAATAGACTCCTCATAGAAGCAATCGAAGCCCTTGAAAGAACACAAGAACAACAAGCCAACAAGACGAACAAACACAGACGTGACGTGTCATTCAAAGTAGGGGACAAAGTCTGGCTTTCTGCCAAACGCTTTGAACCCGAACACGGCTTGTCCAAGAAACTCTCCAACAAATGGCTCGGTCCCTTCCCCATCATTGAACAAACCTCCCCCGTCAACTACAAACTCCAGCTTCCCCCTGACATGAGTCGTGTCCACCCAGTCTTCCATGTCGAGTACCTAAAAGAATACCATGAATCCCCGCTCCAGTTCGCCGACCGCCCATATCCTAGACCTCCACCAATCATGCTACCCACAGGCCCTGAATTCGTTGTCGAAACCATCATCGGCAGACGAACCACTCACGTATCTGATCATCCGTAACCAATCACTGAATACAAAGTCAAATGGACCGGATACCCCGATGAAGAATCTACATGGGAACCTCTCTCTAATCTTAAGAACGCCATTAAACTTGTCCGCGCCTATGATCGTGCTAATCCTATGTCCTAAATACCTATATAACTATGGCATAAACCCCCGCTAAACCCTTGCAACCCTGCTCTACACACACCCTTGAACCCAGTCCACCCTCCCCTTGACCCTCATTCCTGATGTCTGATCTGCCCTTGCCCTCGCCTAGCCTTGTCCCATCTGTCCTCTCCACTACCTTGTCTCTCTTGTCCAATGCTTGTGAACCTGCGTGACGCCAGCGGTAAAGGATCTAATGGCAAGCACTCGAGCACGATGGCCTGCTGCCTCACTGTTCATGATGATTATGCAGCTGGTTTGGCCACCATGCTGTTTCATCGGGCGGCATCCTGACTCGCGGATTTGCCAGAGCAGCAAGTTGTGACATGGATCTTTGCATCAGTGTGCGACTTCCTTGCTTCCAGATCAGACCTCATTGCAGTTCGTGTACCGGACGCACCCTAGCACTTGGACTTTGACACTTGAACTACTACTACGCTTCTTGCACTTCTACCTATCGCAGCTGCTGAAGACCGCTTCTACCACCTACTCCAAAGACCTGATCAAGACCGCTATAGAACCCCTTTCAAGACACTTGGACACTTCGTTCCTACATGAGATTCTGCTTCCGACTCCTTCGGACACACCAGCCTTTGCATCCTGAACAAACATTTTCATTTTTATTTTTCAGACTTTGACAACACTGTAGAACATCATTAGCAGATCCCTAACCATTGTTTCCCGTACCCACTAGAACATTGATAGACATCCCCTGTTCCCCTGACCACAGTTTCCCTTACCCAGTAGAACTTCAATAGAAGTCCCCTGTTACGTGAACTCTGTTCCCCCTTAACCTATAGCAAACCGTGCAGTCCCCTTAGTTCATCAATAGGACTACCCTGCTCCCTGCTGTCCCTATAGTTCATTTGTAGGACTACCCTGTTCCCTGCAACCCCCCTAGTTCATCAGTAGGACAACTCTGTTCACCGGTACCAAACCCTGTTCCCTCTTACTCACGCAGCCCATGCCCCCCATATTATACACCTCTTCCCTTTCGACTTGTTAACCAGTGATCGGCCCCGTCCCGTCCTTCACGGATTTCAGCATTGCTTCATGATTTTTGGCAGCCGGGACGTTGCCTTCTAGAGGGAGGGGATGGTGTTACGGACTCCGCCAGGGCTCGATCCCTGGTCTATCGTTTTGGTGTTTCGGCTGCATTCCGTCTTCGGCCTGGCACCATTTTTCCAAACCCCTCCTTTGGTACCGTAGGATTTTGGACAACTGGCACCATGCTGCAATTCGGGCTCCACTTTCAAATACCGCATTTTTCAGTTCTGCCCTCGGGGCCTTTGCAGAAATACCCCTGGTACCGTACGAGTCACCGGTACCTTTACCGGCTCCCCGTACGGTACCGGGACCAGTCTGGTACCAGTTTTCTGCTGCTGTACTTGTACTCAGTGTGTGTTACATGCTGCACCTGCACACGAGGGCCATTTTCCAGGCTGCGTCCCTTAGGCTGAAAGCCTGAAATTCAGGCTTAAAGCCTGAAAACCAGGGCCTACAGGCCCCGTGACTGTTCAGTCTGAAAGCCTGAAAACAGGGGCCTACAGTCCCTGTGTCGTTTTAGACTAAAAATGGCAATAGCTTTTGTAGCCTGAAACGAAGGGCCATTTTCAGTCGTTCATCAGAACGACCGACCCTGAAACTCAGGCACCGAACCAGGGTTTAGGGAACAGGCTATTCTTAGCCTGTTCCCACGCCAGCCTCAGCAGAGGCTGCAGCTCCAGCCCCTGACACACTTCGGCATTGGCAAGAGCAGCCTCCTCGGCCTGGCTCGCCCTTCAGGCAGTCAGGAGGCAGGCCGAGGTAGTACATAGGGACTTCCCATGCACTTCACGGGCAGGCAGGAGGCAGTAGTCTTCAGGACTCGGCCGCAGCACTCTGGAGGGAGCGCTGCAGGAAGTAGTAGTAGTGTTAGCCTTTAGTCTTCAGCGCTGGGCGCAGTAGGTAGCTGTAGTCTCCAGCGCTGGGCGCCATAGCTAGGATAGCACTAGAGAGAGAGAGAGAGATTGGGCGGAGGCCGGAGGTACTTACCTGCAGCGCCGTTGCTCCAGCTTCGTTTTCGAGGTACCTGCATCACAGCGCCAACATCACAGGTTAGTTCCTGGCTCGTAACAGAGAGAGAGAGAGACTCCTTCTTCCTCTTCTCAGTCGACCATCTCCCTCTCACCCTCTCATCATCTGACTTCACTGCATCTGCAGACTACGAGAGAAGAGAGACAGAGCTTGGTGACATCGGATCCAGACTCGACTTTTGGACTTCAGACATTGCAACAAGGGATCATTTGGGACTTGTGACAAAGACTTGGTGTTAACGACATTCCCATCTCCCTCCCTCCTTTCGTCTGATCCCCTCCTCTTTGTCTGTGTATGTCTGGACCTGGCGCTTTCTTCCTGTGTACAGCGCCAGGCTCCTTCACACCTGGTTATGGATAAGATGTATGTTTGGTCTGCGTTCAAACATTGATGGGGCTAGCATTCTAGCATCCTGCTTCACTATCTTTTACTACGTGAATGAGGTCAGTCCCTGTCAGGTCAGGCTTTGTATTTAAGTCTTCCCTGCGCTATTTAGCACCTTTTGTATGTATGAGAATGCACATTGCTTGTTGAGATTCTACTGGCACTGCATTGTCCATTCAGTCCGTTTCATCACATTGCGGATCCTGGGTTTCTATGTACATCGCTCAAATGGGCATGTCACAGTTGGTATCGGTGCACCACACGTGAATCAGGACAACCTGATCTGACACGTGTGCGGGGACCAAGTAGCTGATTAGTCTTTATTGATTGATTAGAGCACACTAGATAGCCCCCAAATCAGGATTTTGACCTTACTGCCGAAAATTGATTTTTTTTTTTCTTTCCTTGGATTTTGTTTTCTCGTTATTTCTGTTGTAGAAAATCGTAATAGCGCAACATCTGAAATTTCCATTTTCGTTGTCCTTCTGAAATTCCAAAATTTCGTTGTTGAAAATCCGGAATATCCTTCTTTTCGAAAATTTTGATTTCCTGTTGCATTTCGCGTTACTTAGAAATTCGGAATATCTTCTGTTTCGAATTTCGTTTTTCTGAAAATGGTACGGGAAATCCCTCCTCCGGTATTATTTTCCAAACTGCGAATACTCTTATCTGAGTAAATCTGAATATTGTCATTTCTTTTCGAAAATTTTTTCACAGTTCTAGGATTCTGTCAGTCAGTTCTCTAAATCATTTGCAGTCCGAAGTCGAAGTTTTTTCCTCTCATTGATGATTTCGCACTTCAAGGGAGGTTGGGAGACCTGCTGAACTTGCAAAAAAGAAAAAAGAAAAAAAACTTGGGACTTTATTATTTCGAATTTTGTTTTTTGCAAAGTTCAAACCATGGTAACCGTCCGGACGTCCGGACCGGGTTCCAGACAGTCCGGTGTCTGGTGTCTGGTCCTGATGTCCAGATGGAGGCCCCTGCGGAGAAATAAAAAAAAAAGGGGGCGGCCCAGGACGTTTATCTGGTCCTGGCCGCCCCTCGAAAAATAACGGGGTGATTTTTCAGTGTCATTTCACCCCACCAGACAGGGCCTAGAGGTCCGGACACAAGACACTGCGGGTTTCTGGGGTGGCGGGTTTCACACAGGCCCGAACAATTTCAAGGCGCCCGCCGCTGCTGCCCGTTGGAGAGAGAGAGAGAGAGAGAGAGAGAGAGCACTGACAGTGCTGCCAATCTGAAGACTCTGACGTCCTGAATTGAACTGCAAAGATTGAACTGCTGTTGATTTGCCTGTTGATTTGCTGCAAAGTTAAATGTGCTTGTTGATTGGCTGCAAGACACGTGCTCTGCTGCCTGAACTACAAAGTCCAGAGCAGGTAAGTGCCTGCCAACACCCCTGTCCAACCCCCCCCACCCCGTTTTTTTTTTTTTTTTTTTGTTTTTTTTTTTTTTTTACCGGTTCGGACATTCGTGCACCCCTGGTACAGGTCCGGACTGTCCGGGTCCGGTGATGTCCGGGTGTCCGGTGATGTCCTGATCACCGGGCAGTCCGGACCGGTCCAGACACTGGTCCGGAAGACAGTCCGGAAGTGTCCGGTGTCCGGGTCCGAGGTTACCATGGTTCAAACTTTTCTTTTTTGATTAGTGGCTCTTTATCTGGGCGATTCTCCCCACCCACCCTCCCAACCTATGTTGTTGCCCCCTCTGGCCCTACCTTCTCTACCTATCTCCGGGTACCCCCCGCGACGGCATTGGTGAGTTGCCACCTCAGCAGGCCATGTCAGCAGACTACGTCAGCAGGACACGCCAGCAGACCACGTCAGCAGGACACACCAGCAGGCCATGTCAGTTGACAGAGCAGGAAATACCAAGTCAGCAGGCCCCCGGCCTGGTATATCCTGTTGCGGTCACAAACAGCCGTCATGGACCAGAGGTCCGGAGAAGCAGGCGAGGCCTATCAGGCTCGGATGCTGGCTTGGAGTAGCGAAACAAAGAAACGGGCAGATGACGCAGCAGCAGCAGCAAAGAAGAAGGCAGAGGACGCGGAGCAGGCACGTCTGCTGACACTTGAACAACAGCGCCAGCATGACGAGGCAACAGCGAGGGCTGCTGATGAAGAAAGAAACCAACGTCGTGAGAAGATATTTAGCGGAGAGCAGACTTTGCTCACAATGGCAGTGACATGGCGGACCGAGGCCGAGAACGGCAAGTTGGAGGATTGCGAAAACAAGATCGCTCTCCTCCTCTCGCATCTCACAGACCTCCTGGCAACCTGCATTACACAGCAGGAGGATATCCACAGCCTCGACGACTCGCTAGCTCAAGTACAAGGCCGCCTTCAGCAGCTGGAGCAGCGACCAGTCGCCGCCCCCGACGCCAGCTCTTCCAATACCTGCGATCGCGTCGAAGCATTGGAGATGGACGTCGGCTCCCTCAAGGACGACGTGCAGTTTTAGCAGACCGCAACGCAATAGTTGCAACAACGGATCTGTACTACCGCCAATACCTCAAGTTCGGAACCGCGCGAGACAGCTCCAAAGTTTCACGGGTAGGAGATCTTCTGCGACTCGACGAAGACAGATCCGGTACCATGGTTCCGCAAGTTCGAGCTCACGCTACATCTACACAACGTCAAAGAACACAAGCACCATGCATACTTGTACTCTCGCTCAGGGGGCGCGTGCCAGGCTTGGTTGGACAACCTCTTGTCCAAGTACGGAGTGGTAGCTAACGACTTGCACACCAAGATCAGTTGGGATGATCTGAAGGCGGCGTGGCACAAGCGGTTCCAAGTCGAGCCGCCCGAGATCAAGGCTATGGACAAGCTCATGGTCTTCGAACAAGGCACGCTGCCGAGTACCGACTGGATCGTCGAGTACCAACGCTTGACGTCAGTCCCAGACATCCAGATGGGCTTCAAAGCCATCCACCACTATTTCATCTCAAGGTCATGTCCGGCATTAAGCAATGCCCTGACTCACGTCGAGGACACCTTGACGACAACGGCGGAACTTTTTGACAAGGACGCGCAAATCATCATTACGAACAAGGAGGCTAAGAACCTGCGTTCGTCTGCAGCAGGCCCGAGCAGGGACCAGCTGTTCAAGAGTGGCCGTGGTCGCGGCAGCAACGCCGGTTGACCAAACCAGCGACACTTTGTCTGCCAGTGAAGGGGACAGACTCGCAGCTGCCCGGGAAGGAGGCCGCCCCGACAGAGGCGGAGGACGCGGTAAGACGAAGACACACACCGCATCTAGCCTCGGGCCCAGCGCAGCAGCTCCAGCGCCTTGGTCCCAGTACGGCATCTTCGAGCAAGCCTTCAAGGCGCACACGAGATTCCACTATTGCCTATGGTGCAATAATGACCTTCATCAGACACTGTGCTTCCTACGGACCGTCGCAGTAGCCGACGCTTCACCCACGGACTTGTCTTCGGACCCCCGGGTGGTGCGGTTGCTGGACGAGTTTGCCGACATCTTCAAGACACCTATCGCTGTGGTGCCGGACCGGCCGATCTCTCACGAGATCATTCTTGAGGCCAGTGTCATGCCGCCGAAAGGTTGCATCTATCGGATGAGCGAGGAGGAGGTTGACGTCCTCTGCGCACAACTCGACTTGTTGGCCAAGGGCTGGATCCGCCCTAGCAGCTCCCCATATGGAGCACCAATTCTTTTCGTCCGGAAGAAGAACAAGGATCTACGATTGTGTATCGACTACCGCAAGCTCAATGCGCAAACCGTCAAGAATGCGGGGCCTCTCCCTCGCATCGACGATCTTCTTGAGCGATTGGGCGGCGCAAAGTATTTTTCTAAGTTGGACTTGAAATCGGGATATCATCAAATCTCGATACGGCCGAACGCTAGCTACAAGTCCTTGTTCAAGGCGAGGTACGGGCATTTTGAGTGGGTGGTCATGTCTTTTGGCCTCACCAACGCCCCGACGACCTTTCAAGCGACAATGACCAATGAGTTCCGTGCAATGACGCTCCGCCGCGCCAAGTACAAGGCCAACCGCGACAAGTGCGAATTTGTCCGGCAAGAACTGGAATACTTGGGCCATTTTGTCACACCGAAGGGCATCAGTCTGCTATCGGACGGAGCCTCGGAACGTCACGGATGTCCGTTCGTTCCTTGGCCTTGCCGGCTACTACCAGCGTTTTATCAAAGGATACTCGAAAATCGCGGCCCACTTGAACAAGCTTCAATGCGAGGATCGGCCGGAGAGGAGGCGCGGGAATCATTTTTGGCTCTCAAAGCCGCGTTATTATCTGCGGAGGTCTTGCGGATATACGACCCGTTGTTGCCTACGCGCGTGACTACGGATGCGTCAGGCTATGGCATTGGTGAAGTCCTCGAGCAACATGACGGTGTGGAATGGCACCCGGTCGAGTATTTCAGCAAGAAAGTGTCTGCCGTGCATTCCATTGACGATGCTCGCAAGAAGGAGCTCCTCGCTTTCGTCCACGCGCTCAAGCGGTGGCGGCACTTCCTCCTTTGTCGAAGCCAATTTCGATGGGTAACGGACAATAATCTGTTGGTCTTCTATAAGACCCAAGACACCGTCAACAGCACCATCGCTCGATGGATGGCTTTCATTGACCAATTCGACTTATTTCCAGGTCACATTCCCGGGAAGTCGAACCGTTTTGCGGATGCTCTTTCACGGCGTCCGGATTATTGTACCGCGGTCTACTCAACCTTCGAGATCGACGATGACCTGCGGAACAGCTTCATCCGCGGCTACCAAGCCAACCCCGAGTTTCACGACAAGTACGCGAATTGCTCCTCTCCCAATCCGACGCCTTCTCACTACCGGATCCAAGAGGGGTACTTGCTTGTCCACACACGGGGGAAGGACCTTCTTTGCGTACCGAGTGATCCTCACTTGCATACACGGCTTCTTGGCGAGTTCCACGATGCTCCCGCCACCGGACACTTTGGAGTCAATCACACGATTGGTCGACTTCGCCAACGATTTTGGTGGCCCGGCCTTCTCGGCGACGTCACGCGCTATTGCGAGTCATGCGAGGTTTGCGGACGCTGCAAATCTCGCAACCATCGTCCATACGGCGAGTTACGACCATTAACGGTCCCATTGAGGCGAAGGGAAGCGATTGCCATGGACATTACCGACCCGTTCCCCAAGCACAAGACCGGAGTGGATGAGATTCTCACGGTGGTCGACCGACTCACCAAGTTTGCCATGTTTTTGCCTTGTCGCTATCATGCCAAGGCACCGGAGTTGGCCAAGGTTCTCTACGCCGGTTGGATTCGAACCAAGGGTTACCCCAACGAAATCGTCTGCGACCGCGACACTCGGTTCATGTTCGATTTTTGGTTGGCGCTCATCTCTCAAGCCCAGTTCAGCTCGCCATTCTCAGACTGATGGCCAGACGGAGAGGGCGCATCAGACCGCACAGGTTCTCCTTCGCACTCTCAGCCGCCCTGACCAGGACTGGGTTGAGCGGCTGTCGGACGTCGAGTTGGCCTACAACTCCTCTATCCAGCCGGCTATCGGGATGTCGCCCTTTGAGTTCGAGCACGGCTCGCCGGTCACTCCACCGTTGGACACTATTACTCCACAAACGACCGAGAGCGACGACCATCTTCTTTTCTTGCGTCGGATGCAAGAGCTTCTTGTCAAGGCATGCGATCAGATGACCAGGACGCAGCAACACATGAGCCAGCAGGCCAATCGCCAGCGTCTTCCTTGCCCATTCCGCGCCGGCGATCTCGTTTGGGTCTCTGTCGTAGAATTCAGCCTTGAACAAGACATCTCTCGCAAGCTCCTCCCAAAATGGATGGGGCCTTGGCCGATCGTAGCACCCGCTGGGGACGCACCCGAGGGACCTTCCTTCACGATTCAGGTGCCCGGTCACTTGCCCGTCTAGCCAGTCTTTCATTGCTCCAAGTTGGCACTTTACACGCCAGCGGAACATGACGTGGCCAACTCGTTCCTCCAATTGGCGGGTAGAGGGTGCGCTGCTGGACTCGCCAGCATCTGGTCTTGGTGCAGATTGCTCCAAGTCCTGCACACGGGAATCAAGTGCCCGTGTAGCATCCTCGTGCAGACCCTTGTGGTTCTGCACCGCCTGTCGGAGATTCGCCAGCTCGGACTGCAGGTGGTTACAAGTGTAGACCAACCGGGTCACGAGCTTGGCCAGGAATTCCTTATGCTGCTCCTCCAGTGTCGCGTCGTCGTGCTCCTCGGATGGTTCAAAGTGCCAGAACTTGAGCTTTTCTATGCTGGTGGATTCATGCCGCTGTAGCAGATCCTGGGCCTCCTTGCTGCGTGCCTGTGTATCTGCTTTGGCTTCTGCTTGAAGCCGCTGCTTTTCAACTGTTGCGGCCGCTTCAGCTTGTAGGCAGGCAGCCTTGGCTGCCGCCTGACGTTGTTCCTTAGCCTCGATCAGGGCGAGCTGAGCTTCGAAACGCTGTCGGTACCCGGCAATGGACTAATTGGCCAGTTGGCCTGGCTTGCCCAGAGCTGAGCCCGTCATGGTGGCAGGGCACTGCTGATGTGGCACTGTGGCACTGCTGATGTGGTACTGCTGATGTGGTACCGCTGATGTGGCACTCTTGCTGACGTGGCACTGTTGCTGATGCGGCACTGTTGTCGTGGCATTGCATTTGTGGCACTGTTACTGACGTGGCACTGTTGCTGACATGGCACTGCTGATGTGGCACTGTACCAAGCCGGGAATGCATGCAAAGGGGTGGGTGGGAGGGAAAACGCAGGTAGGTAACCAACCCAGCTATACTTCCTCCCGGTCCTAATCAACAGAATAAAATAAAATAAAAAAATAAAGAAGCGGATCACCCCTCCCTTTTTTTTTTTGTATATCTGTCGATCTGTTATGAGTAAGGCATGTCAGAAGAGTACTATGATCGAGATCTAGGGGAGATTCCGCAAAGTTTCGGCTTTCACAAAAATGCGATCTTGAAAAAAAACTTTGCGAAGTAGAGTAGAGATGCGATTTTCAGAAAAGAACTAAATCTAGTTTCTGAGAATATGGCAACCTCCTAATATGCCTAAAACGAAATGCTGGTATGCTTTGCAAGATTTCGGTTTTCAAAAAAATTGCGCGATAGAATGGAGATTCGATTTTCAGAAAAGAATATATCCGGTTCCCGAGAATATGACAATCTCTATTGTTATCCTAATACACAGGAAGAATGAGTGAGCCCCAACCATACACAGACGAAGAAGATGGGGGTTAGATGAAGAAGAAGCCTCATCAACACCAAGTCTTCGGCACAGGCCCAAATAGTCCCTCTTCAAATGTCTGAATCCCATTGTCGAGTCTGGATCCAATGTCGTAAAGTCTCAAGTCTCTACTCTCTCTCTCTCTCTCTCTCGTTGTCCGCAGATACTGAGAAGTCAGGTAGTGAGAGGGTGAAGAAGAGATGGTGGAGGAGGAAGAAGAAGAACTCTCTCTCTCTCTCTGTCTCAGTCCGGTACTAACCTGTGAAGTTGGCGCCTTGATGCAGGTACCTCGAAGATGGAGCTGGAGCTATGGCGCCACAGGTAAGTCTCACTGTCCTCCGCCAGCCATCTCTCTCCAACACTACTACTACTACTACTAGCGCCCTGCGCTGAAGACTACTCCTGCAGCTACGTGCCCAGCGCTGAAGACTACTGCTAGCGCTAAGCTACTCTTGCAGCGCACGTCCAGAGTGTTGCTGCCGAATCCTGAAGACTACTACTGCCTCGGCCTCTGACTGCCTTTTACCTACCCGTGAAGTGCATGGGAACTCCCTATGTACTACTCGGCCTGCCTTTTCTGCCTGCAGCTGCAGGGCGAGGCAGTCCAGGAGGCTGCTCTTCCCAATGCCAGGGCGAACCAGGGGCTGGCGCTGCAGCTCCTGCTGAGGCTGTCATGGGGAACAGGCCAGAAATAGCCTGTTCCCGAAACCCTGGTTTGGTGCCTGAGTATTAGGGCAGGTCGATCTTATGAGAGCCCGAAAGTGGCCCTCCGTTTCAGGCTGAAAAGCCTCAGGGCTGAAAAACCCTGTTTTAGGCTGAAATGACATAGGGCCTGCAGGCCCTCGTTTCAGTCTTTCAGGTTGAAACGACACGGGGCCTGTAAGCCCTTATTTCTAGGCTTTTAGGCTGAGAATGCGGGACGGGCCCTGCAGGCCCGTGTGGCTACGCAGTATGCCACACCCTCCCTCTCTCCTCTCCCTCGGCTCTCCCTCAGCCTCACGCCCGTCACACTTGGGGTCAGCCTAAGGGGCTCTGATGCAGTTTCAGAGTACGACCTGGATTGTAAGACACCGCGGAACAGGGATCCTCAGGAAATCATGGCAATTAAGGTAGGGAAACAGGGATTGAACCCGAGGCGCCTAGGTGACCACTCCCAAACAGCGACGGAAAGGTAGGAGCAGTGGGTCTGAGAACTACCACGCTCGCAGACCCAGACCTAGGAGAGAAGGAAAGACAGGCTGCAGGTACAAAGAGGGGGACTCGCATGCACAAACCGAGGGACGAGGCTCCCTCGCGTGCACGATCACTGTTGAAACCTGACGCTGAGGGTTGTGTGCACGCGTTCGTGTTGACGGAACCTGAAGTGCTCGTGAAGCGCCCGTAACAACCTGCCGTTGATGAACGCCCAACCCAAGGCGCCTGGGTGACCACTCCCAAGCAGCAATGGAAAGGAAGGAGCAGCGGGTCTGAGTACTACCATGCGCACAGACTCAGACCAAGGAGAGAAGGAGGGACAGGCCGGATGTACAAAGAGGGGGACTCACTGGACCGAAGGAGGACAGGGGACACGGGGAACTCGTTGACCTGGGGGACGTGAAAGGACGGGATGTGCATGGGAGAGAGGGGGGGGGGACCAAGGTGAACTAGTCGAGCAAAGGGGCTTGCGTTCAGCAACACCAGGTTGCTATGGGTGTGTCACGAGCGCTTCAGGTTGCGTCAACACGAACGCGTGCACACAACCCTCAGCATCAGGTTTCGAAAGTGATCGTGCATGCGAAGGAGCCTCGTCCCTACTGCCTTCTCAAGCTGTGCCCACGGGAGCTATCTCTCGAGAGTCAAGCGGAGCGGGGTGCAAGCGGCATCGAACAGAGGTGGGCAATGTTTATTAAAAAAATAGTTGTACGGGAAAGCTAAGTAGTGGACCGAAAGAGTCGGGTAAGGAGAAAGAAAGAGAGAGAAGGGAAAGGGTGCGAGAGGAGGAAGAAGAGGCAAGAAGGGGAAGCGATGATGGAGCGAACACGGGAATGCAGGCAATCCAGACCAACTGTCTCGGGATACGCCACAGGGAAACGGTCGTGATATGGAAGGAGGTCAAGCCTCGCAGCGAGTGAGCAAGGTCAGGTGTCAAGGGAGGGTTTTGAAGGCATCCGGGTAAACGAGAGAAAGCTGTTTAAGAGCTTAGTGTGGTCAGGGAGAGCGCGGAAAAAGCTGCTACGGTCAGAAGGAGCTTTGCGGCGAGCGGAGAGCAGTCTGGGCGTACGCATGGTGAGTGTCAAGAGAGGTTCTACAGCGGAGGTGATCACAACGAGGCTGGTGTCAAGAGGGAGCAGAAGGCAACACGACATACGAGAGAGGAGCTTGTGGCGGGCTAGTAGGATCAGAAGACATCGCGTCATGCTGGAAGGGAACTCGGCGTGCCAGGGTTTGGCAGAGAGGGCTCTGCGGTTGTGTTGAAGGCATCGCGAAAAGTTGGCCTCGCAGCGAGATTCTTCGACCAAGATCAGCGTGAAAAGCTAGAGGGGGCTTGCAACGAGCTAGTACAAACTGAAAACTCCATAGAGAAGCTGCCCGGCAGGCAACGCGACACATGAGAGAGGAGCTTGTGGCGGGCTAGTAGGATCAGAAGACATCGCGTCACGCTGGAAGGGAACTCGGCGTGCCAGGGTTTGGCAGAGAGGACTCTGCGGTTGTGTTGAAGCCATCGCGAAAAGTTGGCCTCGCAGCGAGAGGCTTCGACTAAGATCAGCGTGAAAAGCTAGAGGGGGCTTGCAACGAGCTAGTACAAACTGAAAACTCCACAGAGAAGCTGCCCGGCAGAGAGTATCCCTCGTAACCGGAGTTCAGCCGAGAGGCAGTTCAGCGCATCCCTTGTGGCCAGAGGTCGTTACAACGAACCCGATCAACCTAATAATTTGACAGTCCGTCAGGCGCCTAACCCCATCAAGGAAAGGCGCTTTTCTCCGTTTTCGGCGATTGTAGATAGCCATGTTCCTGCAAGAAGGGAAAAACTCCGTTCTCAACTCGATGCTAACTCTCCGCGAACGCGATTTGCGTAACTACTCGCTTTTACCATGCTTGACAGTTGACTGGTTGGGACAGGCACATATAGGGTAGGGTTCAGTGACACAGGAGTCAGGGAGAAATCTTGGTACAAAAAGAAGGCTGATAACAGAGATGTTGGTACCGAAACCAGTAAAGAGTCGATCAGTCTCAAGTCTCTCTTTGGTTCTGTTATAC